AGAGCACCCCCGGGGCCGCTCTGCCGAAGGATTCAGGTGGGGGTTATGTGTCAGGTTTTCGCCGGATTTTAATGGATCTAGGAGAGAAAAAACAAACCCAGAACTGTTCAGTGAGGTCTTGTTTAGCTTCCTACAAGTTACCTGCTGCTAATGGTTGATAATTACTTCCCTGTGCAGTGTGGATTGGGTTATTTTCTGAATCAGACATCCTGCCATCTATATAAAACACACACACGTTCACACAAGACACATATGTGTTTTCCCTGGTCTGTGCTGAAGCTAGACATTTTTAATGTATTTGCAAATTACAGGACACAGACCATGCTGATGTTTTACTAACACATTTAGAATGTGAATGGTTTAGCAAGAGATGCAGACAAAACTGTTTTTCTGTAAAGGCTCAAAGCTTGAGCTTGCAATTTAAAAAAAATGGTGCATATCTTCTGCAAAAATATGTGGCTAGTTGCTGTGATCGGGTAAGTAGTGTAATAAGGGGATGGATGCACATCCATTCTATCCTATTTTATAAATACAACTGTGTGTAAATAACAATTATTGTATACGCTGTAGATAAATAACTGGGCAAATCCTGACCTGGAGCTGTTCATGTTTCTCATTAATATCAACTGTGACCCTCAAGTTTATTTGCACAAAATTTAGGAAGAGCACAGAGGAAGAGAAATCATCCTGACAGACATTTATTGTTTAGAGAAGGTTGGATGCAGTTGTCTTGTGGAGAGGTGAGATAATGACTTATGTATCACTTTGCCAAGGAAAATCAATTGCCGTGCGTCCGAGGAGGCCCTGGCATTCCTCCTTCCACGCGCCCCGTAATGCTCAGAGGTGTGACGGGTGAAGAATTGATGCTGTAGACAGGGGTTTTCTCATGGCTGGGACTTTCTGGTCAATGAAATCCAGAAGCACCTATGAATTTTGGGTTTGGGGTTTTATTCCAGTGCTGATCCAGATGATATTTGAGTATTCCTCGTCATTTTTTTAAATTATTTTTTCATTAATTGTGTAAATGGTGACTCAAGAATATGGATGAGATACTTGTGTGTGCGCTGGTCCTTAAGGTAAAGGTACATTTTAGGCAATATGTGACTTTTGGGGCTATCCAGCTTGTGTGTTGCTCTGCATAAATTTACCAGTGGAAGGTCCAAGAAAAATGCAGGGAACTTTTCTACTGTATTCAGTATTAATTACAGTAGAAACTGATAAATATAAAGCCATAGCCACGAGCTTCCTGTTCCGAATCATTTTTGTGACACTGGCAAGCCAAAATGATACCGTTTTTGCAGGCCTCACTCTCACGCATTGGCTTGACGTGGAAGGCCTGAATATACAAGAAACCCGGGGCTTCTCTGCATAAAGTAAAATTCAAAAGAAAAGTGCTTGTTTTTTCCTGGCGCCTGTCGTTACAGTGTGTGTATTTCTGATCTTGCGTTGCAGAGTCTGCTGAATGGATTAATGTGTTACAAACCCGATGACCCAATTGAATATTTGGAAAGCTGTCTGCAGAAAGTGAAAGAGCTTGGAGGGTTGGAAAAAGTGAAATGGGACACTTTTGTCAGCCCAGAAAAGAAGACCCTGCCTCCACTGAATGGAGGGCAATCCAGGAGGTCTTTTTTCAGGAATGGTAATGTATTAAGTATAAAAATGATTGTATTTCTTGTACTGTGGGTGGCTTTACATCCTCTACTGAATTATTTGATATTTACTTCTGTAGCAGATCATGCTTCATTCCGATTTTCCTTAGGAAAAGGACTCAAGGATTCTGTTTCCTTGTATTTTGGCATTTGTTTTTCTCCTCTCATAACAGGAGGAAACTGTGATAATTTCGCAGCCTAATGATGGATGTTTGCTGTGTAAACGTTTAACACATTAGTGGAGAGATTTCTTGTATCCTACCTAGAATATCTGCAAAGATTGGGCCAAGCTGACTCAGTCCACTTGGTTTGTATTTTCAGTTGGTCCTTGTGGATGACATATGAAACAACTTAATGCAGTTACGCGGTTGTTTTTCTAGTTTATATTGAAGACACATGGTAATGTACTCAATACAATGTAAATAATGAATTCTCAGGAAAAGGCGCGTCTCGTAAAATGTAAGCAAATGTTACACCAATACCTGTAATTATTTCATTTGCAATATTAACAGAGAGTAATTAGCTCATCATTCAGTTGCCATAGTTATTCTTCCTTGCCATCCAGCATTTCATTAAACTAATTAGCAAAAACAGTATCTCCATCTCTGTGTACAGCATCTCTCACCAAAAGAGTCTTGTTTAATAGCAGAGGTGATCTGCACGGTACAAGGCTTTTCTCCGCAGAGGCCACTGCTGAACTCTGGGTGCTCTGGGCAGGTTTTCACAGAAAAGCTGATGTGCTTGTAAAGAAATATCACAGAAAACTGACTCTCAGTGGTTCCAGTTTAGTAAATCAGCTAAATAGAGGCAAGGATATTTAATATAGTAACAGCAAGCACATTGTAAAATTAGGAAATATTTATGTTCATTTATTTATGTTCACTTATTTAAATTTGTGTACACCGTAGATTTGAGTTTTCTGTGCATTTCCACAGTTCTCAGTTTATCTTACTATTTTACAGTGATGCCTGATAATTCCAACTTCCCATACCGACGGTACGACCGGCTCCCTCCAATCCAGCAGTTTTCGATCGAAAGTGACACCGACCTCTCTGAAACTGCCGAGCTGATTGAGGAGTACGATGTATTTGATCCTGCGAGACCTCGACCAAAAATTATCCTTGTCATAGGTACGAAGGCAGAGTCATTTTGACAAGATTTTATGTGCCTGTATGTATTTAAATACAAGTTTTCCATCTGCTGTAGCGAGTGGTGCAGCCCAATTAGAGTGTACAGAAGTGAAGTTGTTAGTGCTGAGGATACAGCATCCCAACTGCAAGCATGTGAGGGGTTGCAGGGAGCGCCTGTGGTCGTGTTTGGTAGACTGGATGCCTGTTAGAGCTCTTCAGGCTCTCCATCTGTTGGAGAGCTCTTGGTTTGCTTATGGAGCACATCTGCTGGTTTGATTTAATCTAAACCAAACCCAGCTCATGCATTTTGAGAGAGCTCCACCACGTGAACCAAAGTGCTCTTCCAAAGTGTGCTCCGGGTCTGAACTAAAACACAGTTGTAGATGTACTCAAAGCTCCGCATAAGAAAAGGATATTTAAAGATATTGGATAAGCCAGCTCAAAAAGGTGATAGGGAGCTGTTGTCCTCTATATTTATAACCTTGAAAACTGATTGGTATGTGCAGCTGGAGTGAGCGTACACGGTCACGAGTCCATTGCATTGATAAATTAATCCCCAGCTCTATTTGGCAATTGAATCCTGTGCCATGGAGAGTGAGTGATCAGCTACCGTTACTGAATTGTGCTCTCTCCCCAGGTTCTCTCTTGTGTGCTTTTTCGTGTCCTTTCTAAGCAACTTGTGGTTTCCAGTCTCAAACAAACATACTGTTTATTAAGAAATAACTGCAGTTTAAGTCTCTATCAATGTTTGATTCTGTTATTCTGAATTTCAGTTCTTTGAACTGGTTTCCTTGTCAAGTGGAATAGTTGTCTAGTTGTTTGTTGTTTGAAATTTTACTGCCAGGCCTAATTCTCTGAGTCTCTGGACTGTTCAAACAGTTACAGCACAGGTGCCAGGTGATGGAGAATCACATTTTCAGTCTATAAAGCCTGATTTATATTAAAGAGAGAGATTGCTTCCATAACAGAGAATAGTAGGTAGTATAGTAAAAGAGAATAGAAATGTCTTCTGTGTTTTATAGAGTGGGATCTCTAAGAACAGCGTGTACTCAAGGCTCTGCATCCAGCAGTTCTCAGCAATGGGGTATTGGAATGTATTGAAAACAGAAAACCAGGCATTTTCCTAGATGTCTGTGGTATGCCAAAAGAACTGCTTAGGCATTCAGATTTTCTTAATCTTTTGTTTCAGAATTACAAATCTCAACACACAAATCTCTCTGTGCATCATTGAACTATAGCGCTTGCGTTAGACGGAGAAATAACACATGCCTTTCTTTCACCTTAGTTAATCAGCTGGCCTCCCCTTTGATAAAGGAGACAAGACTGGCTCCTTTTCAGGGACCACAGAAGGCTCTTAATGTGTTTAAATCCATGTAGCTCTATTGCAGTAGGGTCATGAATGAATCTAGGTGAAACAGAGATTGGCTTTCACCTCTGCAACTGAGTGCAGGGGTATTTGAAGTGAAATCCTTGAACAGACTGTGGGTTTTACAGAGCTTTTCTTTTCCCCCATCTATACAGGGAACATTATAAACATTCCACAAAGGCTATTTTCAGGTTTATTTTCCAACTGAGTTTCTCTGAATGTGTCTATTACAGTGTGATCTGATAGAAACAATTCTATACGTAGCTTAGCAGCTCTTGTCCAATTTTCTACAGTGTCAAGAAAATTTCTCCCAAGTTCAACTTTCTGTTGAGAAAGCACATCAAAACACAAACTGGAAAGAGTAAAAGAATAACTAACGTAGTGAATGAGAGAAAATGAAAGAGAAAATTATACTATTATTTTCAAGAGGCAAATATTGTACATACAAAAAAATATGTTGCCTATTTTTCAGTTTGCACTGTTGGGGACTGAAATGAATTGAAGTTAAAGTCCTGTCTTCTGCTTCACGTGTTAGGTGAATTTTTCTTTAATAATGCATTGGCCCAAGATCTTTTAAAGCATCCATAAAGGATTTTACAACTTTGCTTTATGACATCTGTCATCATTATCATGAACCAGGTAGCTCCAAGGCAAGAGAGAACTCACTTATAAAGGTGGGGATTTTGTTCTTTCTCTGTGTTTGTATTAAAGTCTCCTAGTGAAGTGTAAAGCTACAAAGCTGCAAAGGAAGTATGTGACTGGGTTTTAGAAAAATCAGAAGGAACCAGCCAGGCTGGCACACATCTGAATCACTGGAAAATGCAGTTTCTAAGGTGTTACGACACCAGGAAACCAGATTATGTTTAAAAATGGGCTTCCTAACATATTTTGACAAACACATTTTCACTACTGATACAGCCTGAATACAAAGATCCTAAAAAATTAATGAGCTGGTCTCATTAGCCCTGTAGTTCGATATGTGTTTAAACTGCACTTCATTAAAAATACCAGTTAATATGAAAAGAGTAGGTTTTCCTGCCATAATCAGAGTTTAAGGGCTAGATCAGAGGTAGTGCTGTCAGCAGTCAGCTGGACCATTGGTTTGTTAAATCCAGTCCACAGGTAGATTTTAAAATCTTGAGTCTTTTCAGAAGTCTTATTATGACCTGGATTTATTTTGAATTTACAACAATATAAGTAAAAATTGAAATTTTGAACTTCCGTTGGCAGAACCAGATTAAAACAACTGTTTTAGTAAAACTTTCTGGGAATACAAATGTTCACTTGAAACCAGTTAGCAAACACAATTTGAGATGCAACAAATGTTCCCCAGTCTAGACATCTTCTGAGAGATATGTAAAATAATCACACTTTTCTTGAATAATGCATAATCTCAGAATACGTGAAAAGAAGGAAAAACAAAAGTGATTTGATTTTGCTTTCTTGTGAGCAGTTTGTCAGCAGGATCTATCAGAGTTGGGAATGGATACATAGCTCAATAAATTGTAAGTGGGAAGTAATTTTGTCCTATCACTTTTATCTTATTTTATTACCTGAATGTTTCTCCTTAGATTGTAAATGGATAATCCCAGCTTGCTATAAAGGGATAGTTTTGGATTGAGGAAAACAAAATGCGTGAAGTTTATAAACATTCAAGAAAAGACTTCATTAGTTGGTTTTTTTCTGCTTGCAGATCTCAGTTGAAATAACTCAGGTGCCGAACTACAGCATTCTTTTTCTATTTCTCTTTAATGGCAAAGCAAAGCTCTCCCTAACAGGAGCATAAAGTCTGTCCGCTTCATTTCAAACAGGTTTTTTCAGCTATTTTACCGTTTTACAGATACTGCTATCTTTTTCAGTAACAGTTCTGTTTTTCTGGCATCTTTTGCGTCTCTGCTGGAATACAGACACTGTTTTCCTTGTCACATTCCCCGTTTCTCATTTACTGCAGGTTACCTATATATATTTTGCATTTTTATTGTTTCTGGAGTGCAACATAGTGTGTTTCAAACTTGTCTTGAGTCTCCAGGGAAATACACCGAATTTCCTCCCTTGGAAGTTTTGTGTCTGCAGGAATTAAAGACAGCATTGGCTCCAGAATGTTTTATAAACCCTTTGCTCCAAAGCACAGTAACAACCCACTGCCCCTTTTTTCCAGTTGTTAGGATTATTGCCAGGAAATAAAGCCACATAAATTCATACTAATAAATGTTACACGTGTATAAACGCACACATATAAGATGCATTGTTTATGTTATGCTCATTAGATTGCAGTATGGGGCTTTATATCTAGAGAGAGGGTTGCTTATGGAAACCTTTACAAAGAGTGAGCAGACTTTCCAGTAATGAATAATAATCCTGTTTGTTCACCTGGCAAAAGCTGCTCCGTACAAAACTGGCGGCAGTCACTGAGAAAGTAGCAAAATTAGCAAAAATCTGTGCTGTGGCTTTTAACTATGTAAGAAAAAAGCCACTGGGAATCAGTTAGTCCAAGTCTCCTGTCATTGCAGATTACCAAGAGCCTGTGATAAACTGTAAAGTACATGGAATTAGATTGTCTGAGCACTTGTACCAGGTACGCTTTTGAGACAGGAGTGAAACACCATGTGAAGTTGGCTGAAATGCCCTTGTCATGGGAAGGCTGAGCGTGCCATCAAAGGGAGGGGGAGAGCCCAAGCAGAACTGCGGGTGATTCCTGGTGTATCAGAGGCTTGTGTATCTACAAAAGGGAAGCATCCTTCCTTCTAATGACGAGAACAGCTTAACCATCTAAGCCCATTAGATCACCTAGAAGAACTGAAATGAAGAATAGCTGTAAAACCTAACATCATCTGCTGACAGAAGGGAGAAAGCATGTGCCTTTTTGGGAGAAAAACAGCAAGTGAGCTGAAGGAGGGAGAAGATTTTTTCAGTTGTAACCTTACAGTGCAGAGATAAGACACAGCTTTTCTTTCATTTCTTTGCTTGTGCGTTTTATGAACATCTGTAGCTGTATTGACTAGTTGGATGTGATGGATAAATGCTTATGTTTGCACTTACCTTAACCTGGCTTGATTTAGGCATTTTTGAACTAATTGGGTAATGCTGAAGCATTTTTGGTATAACTAAACTGTGGGCAAACCTGAACAATACACAACTTTCCCTGAGCATTGTCTTCAAATGGGTCCCAGTCTGAGTTGCAAGGGGCAGGTGAAGAGTTACCGGCACAGCATCAGGGCTCATTAGAACCCAGGAGGATGTAGGAACACAAGAGTTACTGCTGGTGACAATGAGACCTTTCCGACTTGTAATATTAGGGCACAAATTTGAACCTCGTTACACAGAAAGTGTCATTACTATATATGAAGAACCATTGTAGAGGTTATTCTGCAGTCAAATCTCTATTCATTATGTTAATGCCTAAAAGTTATTTATGGGAATAATACAGATAATATAAGACTAAATATAAGAAAGAGCCATATGACTACTAGCAAGAAACTCACTGTATCCATACTTACTTTCATTGCATTGCTGCATTTTTTTAAAGTTCATAGAAAATGTATATGATATTTTTAGTAAGTCTTTTTTATTTGTCTGTTGAAATAAAACATAATGGTCTCGCACACAATTCCCTCCAAAAATAGCTACTTAGTTTTGGGAATTAATATCAAAACGTTTGTTTTGGTTTTGCTGTGTTATGTTATTCAGTAACACACACTTTTCTGTATAGAAACAGTGATTTTTATCAGAACAGTTCCCTATTTTTACACACTAGATGCCAGTTTCTCTGTTCTTCGCATCCTCATGTCTTCTTTTAGTTCAGACATAGTCCATGCATTCTTGCTTCTGCTGTCCAGCTGACCCTCACTTCAGCATTCCCTGCTATGTAATGTAGCTGTTTGCTGTGATTTTGATACCTCTTCTGTGCTATATTGAAGGGTCTCCTTATTCTCCAAGTTGTCTGAACCCAACAAACTGCTTCTCCGTCAGATGCTTCAAGCAATGATACCAGAAGTATGCGTAGCTCAATAAAAGTCCTTGTACCAAATCACTATGGAAACATCTCAGCTGATTATTTCATATTTTTCTGTATTTTAAAATTAGAAAACCTCAGAAACTCAAGCGTATTTTGGGGCTGATTTCATTAGTTCCCTTTCATGACTAGTCCATTGATTTCATCGGTTTCTTTAACCAAGTGTGGTTCTGACAGGAATACGCTTCAGACCATCTGGCCCTGTCTTTGGATTCACAGAGCTCGAGAAGGGACCAGTTCAGTTGTCTTTTCTTCTGCTACAAATCAGGAAAAATTCCTTTGCAGAACAACTTTAGAATGAGGTTAAGTGTTTGTTAAGGTTTATTTTTAATTCACAAGTAGATTTGGTTTGTTGGTTTTTTTCACTTCATTTTACAAGCTGTCACCTTCATGATCACGTAGACGAGACCCATTTCTAATGGCTGGTAACAAGTCCTGCAACTGCCAGATCTGCTCTAAGAGAGGCTGGAAAATCGGTGCCGATAGCAAAGATTTCACACGTGGTTTGGTACTTTATGTGAAAGGTTAATTTGATGTTTTGCTTATAATTGACAATAGGTGGCCCAGGAAGTGGTAAAGGAACACAGAGTTTGAAAATAGCAGAACGTTATGGATTTAACTACATATCGGTTGGTGAATTGCTCAGGAAGAAGATCCACAGCACAAGCAGCAATAGAAAATGGAGTCTAATTGCCAAAATAATTACTACTGGCGAGCTGGCCCCGCAGGTACAGCATACCCTGTGTTGATGTTTACATGTTTACATGCTGTATTCATGTGCACCATCAAAACACCTCCTTTACAATAGTAAATAAATAACTTCTTTTCTCTGTGAAAGGAAACAACCATCACCGAGATAAAGCAGAGATTAATGCAGATCCCTGATGAAGAGGGGATCGTGATTGACGGGTTTCCCAGAGATGTTGCCCAGGCAATCTCCTTTGAGGACCAAGTAAGAGACTGTTTTTAATTTTAAAAGAACTTGCCTGTCTCTACAATAGTTGAACTCCTTGAAATCATCAGTCAGATGCCAAGAAAGACTGGATGCTATTTCTAACTGAGCATTCCTCTTTAAATCTTTGCAAGTGCATAATTACAGGTTGACAAGAGGTTATTCTTTTGGTTTACGTTGTGTTACGTTCTGTCTGAAGACAGAATGTTTTGTAAAAAGACAGTGTGCTAATATAACCAATAATTCAAGTCTCCTCTCTCAGTAATGAGAATTCTCTCAAGATGAAGAAGAAAGTAACATCAAATCCAATATTTTTTGTATCTTAGTGATTTAGAAAGGGGGAAGACATTAGATTTCCATATCTATTTGTTCAATTTAATCTACATTAGGAGAAACATACTTAAATCAGTGAGTATCTTTACTACACTTTTAATCTCAATTTTATTACAGTGCATTGGAAAGACTGGAAAAAAAATAGAGGTTAAAACTGCCCATGTTTTGCAAGTTTTTGTGAACCAGAAATTACGCTCTTTTTTTGGAAATTTAGATAATTTTGGTTATTCTAAACCACAGTTCTAAGGTTTATGCAGCTAAAACTGTGTGCCCGAGTCCTATTCAGATGTTGTTTTTATCCGTGTATTTTAAACTAATCTAAAAATACTGAGATGCAGTGGAAAAACTAACAGCTTATGTCATTTTCTGATCAGGCGCTGTTAACATAACAGCTATGGTCACAAGTAAAGGTTGCAGTTTCAGTGCTGAATTTCTGGAACGCTTTTCATGCCGAGCGTTTCAAAGTCCTCCACAATTGCTGGTGTGCTGCCATTTCTGTACTCTGAATCCTACGTGGCATTGCCAAGACAGAAGTAACAAAAGCAAGCAGCTAATGAGGCATTTCATTGATGTGCTTTTAGAAGGTATTATTCCGGGCAAAATTTAGAAGTCTGAATTCAGGAAATTAAAGGAAACAGACAAAATAGTTATTACGGAAAATAGCCAATGACTGCCAGTTATATCCCCTTATAATTAACGAAAGAGAAGATTTACTGTTTTAAACATGAAACGGCAGAATTTTAGGCTTAATGGTCATTTCCTTTGCTCATTTTTTTCGGTCCAGTATATTGTGTGATAGTGGGACTTAAGTGCATCTCTTGGTGCTGTGAATTTGCGCTGATGTTGTGTTTGATGAAAGAAAGGTGGATGCAAAACTGGAAGAACTCACAGAAGTTAAATTAAGTGTTTTGAGTTATCCTAGGATCAGATTCTCCTTCTGCAAAGGAAAAGCAGTCAAATAGCACTTGAACACCCATGATAGGGTCCGTTGGTAATACCACTAAGAAGTGGAGTCCAGGAGGTGACAGAAAAAGCTCGGGCAATACGGTGCTGTAGACGAGGAGAAAGATGGAGCCTGTGTTTCAGCCACGGTTGAACCCTCCCATTGCACTGTTCCAGTATACTTTTATAGTATTTCCTAATTTAACTTGAAATAGTCTCCTCTGGCAGCCTGGTTAGCTATTGTTAGCTATAGCAAACTACATGGAAAAACGTCTGATGGATGACAGATGATGGAAACCCTAACTTTGGCTCCTTTTTAGTATGTGCTCTTGCTTCAAGGATGCTCTAGATGGGTCTTTTTAAATATTTTTTTTTATTTTTTTAGAGAAAAGAGAGGATGGATTTAGTCATCTTAGACCTGACTGTATTCTCAGAAAGTTCCTTTCTTTCCATCTAATGGTATTTGCTAAATCATACTCTTCAAGCCCTGATTCTGGCTGAAAGATGAATATCTGAGCCTCTAAAAAAAACCCCAGAGCACTTCATATAGGGCCACCTTTCTATCCTATCTGTTCTGAGTAAGTGTGGGGAAGGAAAGAAGGAATCATAGAGCTTTTATAGCATCATAAGAAAGAAAATTTGGTCTGTTTAGTCTCGCCCTTTTTCACCTTTCTTTACAGCTGACCTCTTATCTGAGCGTACCTAAGGCCATGGAAGTAGGTGTACACAAGATGTACGTATTTCAACATAGAACATTTATTTAATCCAGTGGGATATGTTCAGTGTTTTATCATGGCTTTATATGTTAAAGAAATAAAATATGCTTGTTGTTTCTTTAAATTCTCTGTTTAGTAAGCCATAATACTACACAGCCTGTAGGAAGGTCTTGTGGGAAGGAAAGAGGACTCTCAGCAGGTGTGGTACCCGTCTTCCTTCACTGGATGAGGCTGACAGTAATTCACAGCATGTCAGGTTATTTACATTAGATGTACTAACATTTTTAAGGCACTCGGAGATCTCTCAATGGGAAGTGCCATAGAGTTGTGGAGAATCCAGTAATTAACTGTTGTGATAATTTGTGTAGGTCTGCAATTAAAGATGCTATGCGTGTTTCCCACAGCTTAGAAATGTTATTGCTTCTTGCTAGCAGTGTGTAGAGGAACTGAGCAGTCATTCTCATTAGCCAGAGGTGACACCATGAGAAATAATTAGTTGAAATCTCAGCAAAATAAGACACTTTATAATTAGAAGATCTACTGAGCAATGGCACAGCCTTCCGAAGAAAATGGTGAAATCCCGCAAAATGCAAATAGTCAAATCACATTATTCTGTAACACATACGACTTATTCTTACAAATACACTCCTGTAGGACACTGAGCTCTGTTGATAAAAAGTTCTGAATAAGAAATTGTTCTTCCTTTTATAATTAATTTTGTCACGGGTGAAAACTTATTCCCTTTAAGTCCCTTTAAGACGACTACATGCTTACGTACCTAAAACCAGCAGAAAAGGTTGTATGAAACAAGCTGTTTTAAAGGTTACATTTAGGGAAACTCTCAAAAGATGTATGAAATGTGAGTTACTATTTATTTAGCTGCTTTCCCTCATTCATGATCCCTTCACAGCTGTTAATTGTTGTGACTACAAGGGTTCTCAAATGCAACTGTGTCCCTGCAAACAGGGACTTTATATTATTATTTGTTCCATAAAGCAGCTAGAACACTTTTGGATTTTATGATGTCAATTCAAATAATGATGGTAAGTTTGTGTAAGGGTAAATAGAATATGCTGGCTTTCTCAGTTCTTTCAGCCATATAGGATATAGAGTAGATGCCAGTGGGAGGAATGAGCAGCAGGGACAAGGGTGACCGTTCATTTATCCTTTGTCATTTAAGTGTCTTGGGATGAGTATTCATCTGTAAACCCATGGAAGCTTAAAATAAAGAAGTGTTCATTTTAAAAGTAGCATTTCCACTGTATAGCCTTTCTCCTTTGGCCTTGTTTACACAAATTCCAGGAATATATATATGTAATAATACCAAAAATACATTGTGGGGCGAGAACGTGAAGGACAAGTTATTAAACTGAATGGAAATGGAGATGAGTAATACAAGATATTGAGAGAGCAGGTAAGGCTGGAACAGAAACTGAACAAATGTGAGGGAAATAGGAAGGCTATGAACAAAACAGGCCATGAAAACCCAACATCATTCTAGGTCAAGAAAACATGTCTGGTCTTTATTAGTCATAAGAAGTGTGTATATTGTTTTGTTACCCATATGCTGTTCCTCTTTATGAGGCGTGATGCTGTGGGGTCAAGAAAATATCTGGACCCAATGCACATAAAGGGCCAGGATGTCAAAACTTGGAGTAGATGTGAGCTGGCCACAGAGGTCAGTGAAAGGTGGACCAGGAGAGAGCCTGCAGGGCTTTTGGTCTAAGCCACATCATCTCCCTTTTCTCCACCGGTGCATGTTGTGAACAGTAGATGATGTACAGCTGAAAGGCAAGGCACAAAGGGCATAAAATGTGTCTTGCTCCTGAACAGTAACGGTGTAGTTCACTGAACACTGTTTACTGAGCCTTTTTGTTTATATTATTATGTGGCTTTCACTGGTAAGACCTGTGCTGAGTTATTGTAGAGAGAAACTAATTTATATTGGAAATTGTTTACCATATTAGTAGAGGAAAAGGAAGAGGTCAGCTAAGGTGCCTGGTTTCTGTTGCAGGGACATGTAAAATTTACTGTGCTGTGTTTGCAGATACCTTTAATCTAACAAATTATTTGTGCTAAAATAGTCCCTTCAGTTTTACGGTTCACATAGTTGTGAACTGAGACTTTATGGTATTGGAGGTTTTACAATCTCTTCGTTTTGTGAAAAAATCAAATATATATATGTCTGAATTCTGGTTACAGTATCTGTCCTGCATAACGTTCTAGTGTAGAAATACACTACGATAATGAATTCTTGTTGAACTTTGCTTGTAGTTGCTCTGGTACTACCAGCACATTTTATCCCTTTGACTAATCCAGAAGCTGAAGTTTTCTCTGGGAAATAATGTTATTTTTAGTAAACGAGTCAAAGCAAACCAACTTATGCTAACATTCCCAAACATAGGTATAGCTAAAAGATGACGATTTCTTCCTTGTTATGTTGCCAGACTCTCATGTGGACAGTAAGTTCTCAACGTGTTGCTAGGCAGAATTGTATTAAAACACCTTGCATCTCAGTGACTAAAGTGCCTGAGATAATGCAATGTATCATTTGCAGTACTCACAGCATTTCTCTTTCTGCTCAGATCTAGAAACCAGAAGTAACAAACACTGCTCCCAAGCAATAGTGTCCATCTGGAAGACGTGGATTAAAAAGCACTTTACACATCTGAGGAATTTTACATTTGAATTAAAGCTTTTTTTCCCCCTCTCTTTTATTGGGTTTTGTTAATACCACTCTTCCTATAATCCATATATTTTGAGCAGGAAGGAAGTCTCTAAGATGGCATCAGTGATGTTTTCAGCAGTGCTTGCCATCCAGCAGCAACTCTGCCTTTCTGGTCACTCACCTACACCAGCTTCATCTCTTTATGGCAGCTACTCATTGCAGGCCTGCCGTTTTCTCTTTGAAGACTGAATACATGACAAATAACTTCCAGAGGCAATACTGCCAATGGTTTTGATGGGGGTACTTTTAATAAAGCCCTGAAATCATGTAACTGTGAGACA